AGTTAGCCCAATAGTTACAGTAGGCACAACTATGCTATGTACTTCTGAATGGTGAGCAATGGAGTCATTCCAGTGGCAGAAGTATTGCTGTTGGAGTGACCTATTGCCTCAGAGCTAGTTAAACCAGGAGCAGTAGTTACAGTTATGACTTTGCTTTGTACAAAGTGGCATTAGTATCATTGCTTTCTATTAACTGTGGAACTTGCACTGGATATTTCTACTGGGAGGGGAAGAGGGCAAGAGGGAGGTGGCAAGGAGGAAATGGCGGGGGCAGAGAGGGATTGGAGAGGGTCTAGAAAATTGAAAATGTAGTTGTATATACTACTAGCATTTAAACTTGGTTGACATTTAACAATATAATTGATATCAGCTATTTGCATACACTAGACCCTATACAAGAGTGTTTTCTTAAATGTTTTAAACACCCCTATTAAGAATCAATCTATCTCTACTCAGAAACCATACATAAATATAAAAGCCAAGCAAAAAATAACAATAAAAACATACCTGCTAAACAAGTAACTTTCAATTCAAAGCAACAAAGGATCTGGAATGAGCATCCCAATTAGCCCACGTAGTGACAAGCACTCAACACCTTATTACTTAATCATTAAAGAGAATCTTGCCATAATTTCCCTTTGACATATTTCAAAAAATGAATTAAGGGTACATCACATGACCCACAACAATCCACAGTGACGTTTAGACAATGTCAAGACCCTATATCTTGCAAGGATTGTGTACTGAGAGGTTCAGGAGTGGGTTCTTAAGTGGGACACTATGAAGCATTTACAATTTCTTAAATAGTATATTAAATGTAAGCACTGTGAAACAAGCTACCTGATAAGGGCCCATTTGCCTTCCTACTGTTGGCTGTGTCCATTTTTTTTTTTTTTTTTTTTTTTTTTTTTTTGGGGGGAAAAATTCTTCTAATGTTTTTTTTTTTTTTGTAAAACTTTTTTCTCTTTTTTCTTTTTTTTTTTTTTTTTTTTTTTTTTTTAGTGGATGAAAATGCTCTGCAGATGTTTCTAGTATTGGTAAACATCTGTGCCTCTTCTCTCCTTTTTTTTTTTTCCCTAAGCAGCCTATTCAAGCCATGAAGGACATTAGGTTGTCCCCTTACACGAACCTCTGCCATCAGAACGCTGAAATCTCCTGAGGGTGACTCTCCATGCCACTTTGGAGTGAGGAAGGGCTTTCAGTTATGTCTGACTTCAGTTTTAAAACGCTCAACTCAAACTACGCTCCAGAAAGGTCATTTTGAACTTCGGAAATTGATTTAAAAAAAAAAAATCGCCACCAAAGTTCTCAGTCCCACTGGGAATCTCCGCACTAGCTCAGATCAGGCCCAGATCCTCTAGGCCTAGTCGACTGGCGCCCTGAAGCCTGGGCTGGCCAGGTCTGAGTCTGTGGTGCCTGCCCTCGCCTCCAGGCTACCCCCACTCCAGGGAGCCTGCTAGCACTTGGCTTTTAACCTGCCCGGCCAGCAGGGCTGTACCTCATCTCTGCAAGCCACAGAATTTCTCCCTAGACGTCACGGGCCAGTCAGGATTAACACGCAACAGGGCGCCCTGCTCAAACCGCCAGCTCTGGCCCAGGAGCTGTTAAATGCAGATTGAGAGAAGGACCCCCGGAGAGCTGCTGTTGAATAAAACTGTAATCCAAAGGCACCGTTTCTCAGCGTCCAGCTTTCCCGGTGCTGAGAAGCTGGGCCGTTGCTGATGGCACAGCACAGGCCTGCCTAATCTCTGCTCTCTCCTGAGACTTGGCCACCCCGGAGACTCCCCGTACCTCTCCTTAGTCCTCAGAGAAAGAAAGAAAGAAAAAAAAAAAGCGTAGATTCGGGAATAAAGAGGAACAGATATCTCCGGGAAGGAAGGCAGACGGCTCCTTCCGTGAGTACGGCCTCAGTCCAGCATCTGGGTGGCCCCGCCTGGCGCCCCCGGTTCTACCCAAGACACCTAGTCCCCAGCTCCACCTAGCCTCGACCCGCGTCCTTCCTGGCCGGTGGCCTCCCAGACAAACCCTTGCCTGAACGCCTCCCTTTCTGTCCTCTCCCTGATCTCAGCCCATCCCTTTATTTTCTCCTCCGAGGCGGGCAACTCCTGGTTCTGCTGCCCTCAACCCCTGGGGGTCGCGAGCATCTGCGCCCAGAGAGAGCTTGACAGTCGGGAGAGGGCGCACAGGAGACTGGCGACCACTAGGAAAGGTCAGGGGACCTCCAGATGGCCTCCAAGAGTAGAGAAGACCGAGAACCAACAGGAAGTGGGGGAGAATAGGATTATAACTTCCACTGGTGTCTTAATCTGATAAAAACAAAAAACAAAAACAAAACCTTACATTGTTGTAGGACCTACAACATTACACGACCAAGTGAATCCCCACAGACTTAAGTAGACCTCCAGGAAATCGGCTGGCATCAAAATCGTTGATCCCAGCGCCTGGTGAAGATGACAGCCTTCGAGCCCTCCGATGGGGTGGGGGAAATAAAATAAACTGTACTGCCAGCAGACCCTAGAGGCAGAGCGGTTAATGAGTTAACTAGGCCTTCCTGAAGCGTCAAGTCCCCGAGGACACCCAGTGCCAGTCCCGAGCAGGCTGGGTAGCCTTCCAGGGCAGAGGGAGAAGCCACTCTTCCAGGCATGGCCCCTGAGGCTCCACATCAGAAGTTCGGGACCCTCTGGGAGACCGTCCTAGTCTTCTGAACAAACACTTGGAGACCTTGGGGTGGCTCTGGCGCCTTGACCTTCACTCCTCATCTAGGCAGGGGAGGGAAACCCAGCCCACCTGGCTCCCAAACAGAGCTCACTGCACTCACCTCCCCAGACCCTTTCCAGCCACACTAGCTCCTGCTTTTTAGAACTGGATAAAATGAAAAACTTGCCTCCATTCTGTCCTCGGTTGACAGAGCTGGGTGCGCCCAAGGGGTCACACTGGTAAGCTCACACACCACAAGCCAACAGCGCCAGAAACACAGACAAACCTAAGAAGCCCACATCATACCAGCACGATTCTTTTGTAGGTGGGATGGGAGAATAAAAGGCACATGTTTAGCCGACGCAAATTTTAGACTAATGAAACTGAATAAGGGAAGTTTGTGAATGAGTAGGGAAAATTCAATGACGTTTTATTAATTCTATATCCTCTATGCTCCCCAAACCCCATAACTTTGGTCCTTTATCTTTGACTTTAATAAAATAATGATTCGTGGAGAAAATGGGGTATAAATCTTCATTTTGGAGGCAATTAAAGTGTTGATTTCATTCATGCCCCTAAGCGGTTCTTGTAATTTGCTCAAATAGCTTTATGTACCCAGCACTCCGGAGCTTTTAGAATCCCATTTTCTAGTTCGGCTTGTTGGATTACAGTTTTTACTCAACAGCAGCTACTAGTGGAATCTGCGTTTAACTAGCAGGGCTGGAGACTGAGCCCCTAAAGTGGCTGGGAAGCCTGAGGCACTGGGACTGGGCCGCCTGCGGCCTGCGGTTTTCCCACCTTGATCTGCACATTCTGCGGGTTCTGGGCCCCGGTCTACACCGACCAGTTTCCAACTCTCCAAACAGTAGTGAGGACCTCTCCTGTTGGCACTTTTAGAGTTCTACTTTAAACGTGCCATACCACACATGGGCAAAGAAGACATTCAGCACAAATTGTAGAATCGCGCAGGATTAGTCACGGATTTTGAGAGAATACCTTAAGGTGACACTAAGAATGAAGTTGGGACAAGACAGCATTGGCCGGCAGTGACCATCATAAAACTTACAGAGAAAAACCAGTGGAGTAGCTGCCCTTTGACTTAACAAAGGCAGGTTAGCGTTCCCCGCCCCCTCTCCCCCAAGCAGCCACACATAAGTCAAGCCCCAATAAGAAAGGGCTCTAGGGTTTTGCTGATGGTACTGGAGGCATAGGAGGCCACTGCTTAAGTCTCTAGACTCTTTGCAGCCATCCTCTCCAGAGCTGTCCAGGACCCTGTTTCATCTCACTCACTCTTCAGGTTTTCACTTTCACTGCTCCCCCCCACCCCCACCAACTCATTTGGACCAATCCAGAGACACAGCAACAGGAAAGAGAAACTGGGAGCAAATGGTGGTGCCCCAGTGACAGAGAGAAATACACCCCCCAACTCCAAATAAAAATCATCACCACTTAGACCGCAGCGGAAAAGGAGCCTGGAAGGAAGACTGGAGAGGAGGGGGCAAGCAAAGAGCCGCAGTGGAGAGCAAATGCATGGGCCCCTGCCCTCCACACCCAGGGAGCCGCCAGGGTGTCCTTGACGCTAACCCTGCCAAAAGCTGCCAACGCAGGAAGCCCAGAGCACATACCAGCTGGAGGACGAGTGGAAAGGAGGAGGAGAAAAGTCCATATTTATCTGTTTTTCTAACCTCGGCCTGCTTTTATTTTTTTCTATTAAGTACAATAAAATGGGCGAGCTTGCAGGGAATACCACACAAAGCAATGTTCAGTGAGGTCTAGAAGCGGTCGGCCGGGGAAAACTGACAAGACAGGCTAATGAAGCGTGTAGACAGGGAGAAAATAGCCAGCGTTTGCTAGATTTCAAACCTTCACTGTCTCTCTTAGACCACCTATCTTGGACTTATTCCTAATAAAATAAGAAATAAGCAGACCCTACACTTTTCTTTTCTTCAAGATAGAAGGGAGGAAATGCCCATGAACAAAGCCCTACAAGCAGAGGTGGCCACTGGCGGTTAACACTCCCATTATTATGGAGGGTAAATAAAATAAAGACAAAAATTAAAAGAGACAAGAAACAGGTCAAGTTTGCAGGCGAAGCTTTTACAAGCTCATCTCTCCAGGTCGAATCCCAGAGCCAGCCTTAATGAAGCAATAATAGCCACATTATTCAAAAATTTTCATTTTGATGGAAATGTATCTAAAAGGGACTTAATCATATGCAAATAATAAAGGAGGTGGTAGTGACCCAGCAAGCAATATGCATACAGATTTTTTTCTTAGGGATGTTGAAATTGAAAGTCTCATACCTGGTCAGTTAGATTTGCTGATCTCGTTACATCTTCACTGTCTGATTTTGATCCTCCTTCTCTATCATCTATCACCAAATCGATAGGCATTTTCCCTTTCAAACAGCTAATATACCGGTGGCAGAAATTGTCACATAATTCGTGTACCTACATTATGACAGAAATAAAAAAAATGGAAATATAATCAGGAGTGCATAAACGACATTGACAAGTGTAGTCCACCCCCCTTGTGAGACCCAAACTTCCAAATAGGGGAAACACAGGGCAATTGTCCTCTAGAGACCCCCAGACGCATTCAGAATTAGGAATAACTTTCTTTTCTTGCAAAATAGAGATATCCCAGAAAATTGACAGTGACAAGATGATTCACAGACTACAACATATTCAACACCCATGTTAAATTCATCTGCTCTTGGGGCTGTGGCCATCACAGAAGTGACCTGCATGGGTGACACTTAAGGTAAACTATTTAATTTCATCTGGTTAGTTTACCATAAAGCTTTCCCCAAAGTTTCTAAGGAAAATGTGTGATACTCACACCACACACACACACACACACACATCTGTATTGTGATGACATCAGGTACATGCCTGACAACCCTAATCAAGTTGCCTTTGCCCAATATATAAAAAAAGAAAAATATATAGCCACAAAAACTTATTAAATTGTTTTTTTTTAAAAAAAGAAACAAAAGAATTACTGAAAATATTTAAGTCTAAGTAAATCCGACTCTTACAAGCCCCAGGCATCCCTTACATGCAAAAACTCACAAGAAACCCCGGTGTGCTTGCAATTTAATGTTAGTTTGAATTACAATGCATTAAGTTTTTATTGCTGAGATTTATAGAACAGCTAGCAAAATCAAGTTACCCCACACCCTCTCTTGAGTTTGAAGGTGAGGTGTGTGCTGGATCACAGATTTAAGAACTTGACACAACTATCAAACCTGCTTTGTCTCTGAGCAATGTCTACCATGCCCTCCTCCCCAGGACCCTTCGCCCACTTGTCCTTTCCCCCAACCCCTTCTGAGTTTGACCTAGCACTGATCTCAAATCTTCAAGAAATTCACTAAAACAATTCCCCCACCCCCGCCCAGGTAGCAAAGGAGAGTAGAGGAGTAAGAAAAAAAAAACCACACACAGAGGCATTAACTTGTAAAACAAATTCACTCCGGCATTCTAAGCATGCACTGGGGTGCCGAGCAGTGCAGCTGATGCACAAAGCCAGCAAGGTACACGAGGCTAGAGTGTCTGTGATCCCGGTTTTAGTGGCTGAAATTGTAATTAAACTGCAAAGAGAAATGGACGCTAAGATTGGCCTTGACACTAATTACCAGAAAAAAAAAAGACATTTATGCAAATATCTTGGAAGCCTGAACTTCAGTCTTTCTGAACCCTCCCTTCTGTGTGATTGGGATGAAAGGGAAGTGAAGGGAAAGGGAATAAAGAATTTACCTTCTCTAATTCCAACAGATGAAACCTTAATACTTGTATGGCTTGAATCATCTGCAAAGATACAAAAAGAATGAATACTCCATTCCCAGTTTGCAGAAAATTGGCTGTCACAGTTCTAGCATCTCCAACTCACCCCTTCCCCCCCATAAACAGAGTTATTTTGATTTATGGCAATAACACTAAAACTTAATAGCAGCGACTGGGTACCATCTAGAGGTTTATATTTCTTAAGGAGAAAAAAATAGCTAAATCAACAACAAAACATCTAAGTGGGGATCATAAACACTCTCCTCCCCCATGGCTTCCCCCAACACTGCCCCCAACACAACCCAAAGGGCCACAGTCTAAACTAACTTGTCCTATGAAGAAGTTACGGTAAAGTTTTCCCTAATTGTCCCCAAACAGTGGCTTTGCACTTTGCAAAATTCATCCTGCCTTCTGTCTATGCACCTTTGATACCAATTGGTGGTGGTGGTTGTTGTTTTGGGGTGTAGGTGGGGGGAGGGAGTCGGGACTCTGCCCTCATCATGGCCCTAATGTAGGAGACTCAAGGCTAGAAGTTCGCAAGGTTTAAGCAGACACGCTGACAGGCGGGGAGATAAATCCCCAGGCTGATTAGAGCTATGCCGCCTGGCCATCGTAAAAAACAAAAGCCGGCGCTCCCCAGCCACTGCTCCTGGGCCCTCTCAGATGAGTTTATACCCCGCGATCAAGTCCCCAAACACTTGTCGATGGGTAGAAACACGTTTGCAGTCCACTCGCAGCTATGGGCAGACCAGTTCAGAAAGCTCGGGGCTAGGGACGGGAAGTTGGGTGGACAGATAGGGGAAGGAGTGAGGGGTCAGCTCTTACCAAGTTATCCAGTTCTGGATTCGAAGAGAATAGAGGTTTTTCTGCGCGAATCTAAATACAAGTGAGAAGGAGAGGGGAAAGAAAAAAATGAAATAAAATCTGCTCTCCTCCCTATTTTCTTGCCTCATTTACAGTTAGGGGTAGGCTGTAACCTACAAGTTCGTCCCTCAGGGAAACATTTCAGTGTGAACCCAGTAGGCCTGAGACCAGCCCAGAGCGCTCCCTCACTTCAGCTAGAGCTCCGCTTATGCGGAACGCTGCTCGCCCGCCACGCCACTCCAAAGCAGTCACATAGCATGGAGTTCGAGATTTTATTTCCTAGTGAGCTTGTGGATGGTGAGTGGGTGTGAAGATGGGTGATGATCTGCAAACACAATCTCAGGGAGGCAGGAACACGCCACGCGTGGCTGAAGGGAGACTATTCTTTCGGCCTCTTTTGAGAAATTTCTCTTTTATCTATCTCTCTATCTCTCTACGTGTGCTTGTATATGTGTGCATGTGTGTGCGCGGGGGAGGGGAGCAGGATTCTTTTCTTGTTTCTTTTTACTTTTTTAAAAAACATTTATTTTGCTGACCTGTTTGGCGAACACGGCTATATCTTCATTGAATGACTCTGATGAGCAGACGTCCCCGCCCGCCACCCCCGGCTCGCGGGGGGTACAAGTAGCTAATTCACATTTCTCAAAAATCAGTGCTAAGAGAGGGAAGAGGGGGTGTCTGCAAGAAAATACAACAGTCACAAACAACACAATGATTAGTCCGGAGTCACCGAAAAAAGGCGCCCAAGAAAAACAACCCGAGTAGCTCGAGGCAGAGAGACCCTTGGGTGATCTGATCATCGCTTGTG